TTTTTTTTATTTCTAAAACTATATATGAGGAAATTTTATATTTAAACATCATGAATAATTACAAAAAAATTTTTTTTATATTTGTTAAATTAGTTGCAATATGAAGTAGCAATTATCTACTTCATTTATCTTATTATATTATATTTAAATAAATTTACAAAATAATTAAAATTTATAAAATTTTTTAATCAATAAATTACGTTTTTATAATTATTATTATAAAATAAAAAATTAAAATATTTAATTGAATAATATGCTCTCATTAGATAAAAGAGCCATTAAACATATGGATAATATATATTATTTAATTTTGGCAATATATTATTATTAAATTATTTTTTGCTAAGTTCCATAGATAGTAATTTTTAACATAATTTTAAAAAGTAAGCATTTTTTTGATATTAAAGTTTTTGTACTTTATATGCACTAAAATGTGTGTAGTGCCAATATAAATTATAAATAATAGTATTACACATATTATTTTATGGTTAATTATATATAAACTTATATATATATGTGTATATATATATATATATATATATGTTTATATTGGATTTATGAAGTTGATTGGATTTTATTTATAACCATATAGCAATATATTGATTTTTTTTACACATATTACATATTTCTATATACATTTGAATACTTGATAAATATATTATTTTTTTGTTTAGAAATTATAATAATAATAATAAAAACAATCACAAAAATTTGATTTATAATCTATATTACTATGCAATGGCTGTGCAATAACAAATTAAATAATTAGCACAATTCTATATTTATTAATTCAAAATAATATCATATTAATATATTGTAAATTAACAAACAAATATTTTTTACTCATTAATTAATGTTCTTTCAATATTTTGAAAACATTTATCATATGCTTAATTAAAAAAAAAATTATAAATATTGTGAAACTTATAGGATAAATATTGATATTCATGTATTTTCATTCAATTTTATTAAGTTACAACACTTTATAAATAAAAATGCAAAATTTTAATTTTATATATTAAATTATTAAAATATATAAAACATATAATGGAACTTAGCAAACTTTTAATTATAATTAAAAAAAAATATATGTCTGTTCTGTAATTACTCATTGATGTGTATGATTTATTATGTGTCTATTTATATAATTTTTTTCATAATAGTTATGTTTCAAATATATTATAATATAATGTATTTATATTAAACTTTGTCTTTCAAACTTCTACTTTATGGAATAAAGACCGATAATAATATTGCATAAGATTTAACTTCATGTTAAAATTTTTTTCTTTATGCAATAATAATTTTATAGATAATACTAATATTATATGTTTTATGCAATTATGTAATAATATATAAGTTGATTAAAAGTTAATGTCAATTTATAGGATTTATGTCAAAATGATTATTTTTTAATTGAACAATAATAATTATGTATATAATTTATAAAATATACATTTATCTTCTTTACTAAAAAGATGTACAAAATGTTGAAACTAAGATATCATTTTCTTTTAACAATACATGTGTATGTTTAACACACATTAAAATAGAATATCAAAATATATGCAAAAGTTGCCAAAAGAAATACTACAATAAAAATTATTGTGATAAACTG